GGCTGGGCGTCACGTCGGCCACCGGCGATGCTCTTGGCCGGCGCCACAGGCGACGCCCCACGGCTCCCCTCATCGCCGGAGGCCGACACCGGAGTCAGGCCACGCAATGGGACGGGAAGGGGACGGGAAGAAGGGGCAGGGGATGGCGAGGCAAGGGCGACCGCGGCATTTTCATCAGCCTGCTCACCGACCGCGGCGAGCAGAGGAAGCGTTGCCGTCGAGTTGTCCATTGGCGGGTTGGCCCGCGTCCGCCCTGACGCTGGCCCGAGTTACGACTTCCACACCTCCAGCGACATAGTTTCGTAGAACACCACGTCCGACTTTACTGTAAGCCTCCTAAAAGGACTCTGCTTGGCATGGCTGTAATCGTGCTTCTTCTCCTCTTACTCCCTGCCATTCTCCTCCTTTTGATGCTAGTCCTGACCCTTGCACTCCATTGACCTCTCTTCCGTTATATCCACTCGCATCAGCTCGGCTGACCACCACCCTCTCCTTCGCTCTATGCTGTGGACTTGGTACTAGTAGTGCGCATGCGACTGGAGCCATGTGTTTGTGAACTGCAAGATAGAAGTAATATGATGATGTGGAATGACCACATACTGCAGTGGCTGTCTGCAAACACGCACAAAGGCTTTAAGCAACGCGAGGGCCTTGACTACTCTGAGACATTTTCACCCACCCTCCGCTTTGCTTGCTCCTCACCCTTGCTGCTGCCCTTGATCTTGAGATGCATCAACTCAACATCTCCTAAATCTACCGCACACCCCTTCATACTCATCGGTGCAGATCACTTTCTTTCAATCAGCTCGCTGGCACAATTCCTGCTGCAATCGGCAACCTTGCAAAACTGAAATCTCTGTAAGCCCCCAACAAGGCCTTCTCTTGGCTGTATTCCAGGTTCTTCTCCTCTCTACTCCTCGCCGTGTCTCCTGTTTTTTATGCCCATGCACTCCATTTTCCCCTCTTCCTTCAAATCCACTTGCATCAGCTCCGCAGACTACCACCCTCCCTTTTTGTCCTATCTTGGTTTTGCCTGACTTCCCCCTTCTCCCGCCGCTCTCTTGCCCGTGCTCATTGTATTCATGCCCGACAGACAGGCATGCCCTTACTCTATCTCCAGCCAGTGTCATCACACATCGCACCAACAATGTCCACGTGCTGCATCTCTCATGGATATTTGCCTCCCAATGGAGTTGCTTGCTTGCTCCTATCCATCGCCCGTTGCCATGCAAATTTGAGCTTCATATCTCTACCACCATACTCATTTATGCTCTTCGTTGCAGATCACTTTCTGTTAATCAGCTCAGTGGCACAATTCCTGCTGCAATCGGCAACCTTGCAGAACTTAGCACTCTGTATGCCCCTGGCAAGGCCTTTGCTTGACTATATTCCAGGTTTTTCTACTCTATTCTTTCCGCAGTTTCTCTTCCTTCGGGTTTTGATCATTCCTTCTTCAACTTTTTGTCCCTACCAAGCTTGCACGCTTCTTGCATCCGCCTCTTCCTTCCTTGATAGCACTCTCCACATCATCCCTCTTCTCCTCCTCATTCCTTCCTTTTCCAGATTTCCCATCTACTTTCCTTTCTGCTGCGCTGCTCTCCTCCCTCTCGTTGCAGAGATTTTTCTAGGAATCAACTCACTGGCACAATTCCTGATGGAATGGGGAACTTTGCAGACCTGACTTCACTGTAAGCCCCCTGGAAGGACTTTGCTTGGCTGTACTCCAGCTTCTTCTCCTCTCTACTCTCCACCACTTTTCCTTGGTGCTAGTCCTGACGCATGCATTCCATTGACCCCTCTTCCGTTATATTCACTCGCGTCAGCTCCGCTGAACCTTTTGGCAAAGCACTCGTTCGAACCTTTTTTTTTATGCGTAATGCCTTTTCGCTCCATGCATCCTTGCTTCTTACTCGTCCCTTGTGATTGCTCTTGTTCAGTTATCCTCCTCCAACAATGTTTGTACACTTTTTAATTCGTATAGCCTCCAGTTCTACTCTAGACTAGGCTTGAGAAATTGTCAAACACCTGTCCCCATCTATCCCCTGCAATTGTTGGCGCACATCCCGCGAAGAGCGTCCATCGTTCTGCGTTTCACGCTTCTGTTTCATTATTAGAGATATCTCCTTCCAATGGAGTTGCTTGCTCTTGAACGCTACTAATTGCCATGCAACATTGAGCTTTCTGTGTCTACCGCATGTGCATTCATGTTTATCGTGGTAGGGATCTTGGTAGCAATCAACTCACTGGCACAATTCCTGCTTCAATGGGGAACTTCGCAAAACTGACTTATCTGTAAGCCCTCTGCAAGGCCTGTGCTTGGCTGTATTCCAGGTTGTTCTCTTCTCTACTCTCCACCATTTGTTCTCCTTTTGTTGCTAATCCTGATCTATGCACTTTAATTCCCCCTCTTCCTTCTTTTCCACTCGCATCAGCTCAGCTAACCACCACCCGTTCCTTCGCTGTATGCTGTGGTCTTGGTACTAGTAGTGGGATAGCCACTGCCACATACTACAGTGTCTGCCTGCAGACATGCACAAACAGCGAACTGATTCTGACACGATTCTGGCTAACACCTGTGTTCCGGTTGGTAAGGGAGAGTGAAACCACACTGCTGTTTGGTTGGTAGGGGGTACGAGTGCCTGCTAGTATCCAGCTGGTAAGGAGTACTATATTGGGCAATTGGCAAGGCACTCGTTATCATATCTTCTTTTTTTGTGCATTGACCTACTTCCCTGAATGTTCTTTTCACACATCCCTTAGGGTTGCTCTTCCGTTTTTATTCTAAGCTTCCATCATTCCAGTCCTAGAAGAGCTTCAAGAACTTTGCTTACTTCTTGCGTATTCCTCCCTTCACAGCCCTATCCGCATCCTCCCTCTGTCCTTCCTATTCCTTCTTCCTTTTTTATTATCTACATTCCGGGCACTCTTCAGTACGTCTATCACAATCCTTAGGGCACACAGAGTGCACTTATTCTGCCCCCGCCTAACCTCTGCCAGTGTCAGCATACATTTCACGGACTGTGCTTCATGCTTCTTGCATTTTCAGGGTTTTTGGTTTCTGCACACGCCTTCATACTCACCGTTGCAGATCACTTTCTTTCAATCAGCTCAGTGGCACGATTCCTGCTGCAATCGGCAACCTTGCAAGTCTGAACACTCTGTAAGCCCCCAACAAGGCCTTTGCTTGGCTGTACTGCGGGTTCTTCTCCTCTCTACTCTCGCCGTTTCTCCTCATTTCAACGCCCATGCACTCTATTTTGTCTTATTTTACTTTCACCTGACTCCTCCCCTCTCCCGCCGCTGCTCTCCTCCCCGTGCTCATTGTAATCATGCTTGACAGTCATAGAACTCGTCTTTCTCACGTCCCTATCCATTCCCTAGCTAGCACTGTCAGCACGCATCTCACCCCACCACGGACAATGTCCATCACACTTTAGTTCAAGTTTGAGCTTCCTGCATCTTCTCTTCACGCCCGTTCATTCTTTTCCTGGCAGATATCTTTCTAGCAATCAACTCACCGGGACAATTCCCACTGCAATGGGCTTCCTCACAAACCTGCAAATCCTGTAAGGCATAAGCAAATACTGGACCCGAACCAGTTCGGATCAAACCGGCTGTGGTAGTCAGACCAAAGTACCTTCTTTTCAGCCGAACCAGCCTGAAGAGCTCACGGTTCTAACTCTAAGCCCTGATGTTCAAACATGATGGGGTTCGAGTCGAACTTCTGTATGTCGTCCTGAACCAGGCGGGTGAACCGTTCCAAGCTTGGTTCTATGCTCCTGTGAGCCCCTGTGCAACGCGTTTGCATCCTCGCCACCACACTCCCCTCACCAACTCAACTTGTTCGTGGATGTGGGCAAGGTCCCAACCAAACCCCCACTTTCTCATCGAACCTTTTATTCGCCCATGTCTAATACGAAGTATCACTCCTTCTGGAATTCTTACAGTCTAGATCCATACCTTCCCTCCCTTGATACCTCTTCCCTTTGGTGCTGTTTCTTTAGCTCTCTCCATGACCAATACCCTTGCCTTCGCTGATTCTTGATTTTCCTACCCTCCTCCCGGCAGTGCTCTCTCTCACAACTACCTCACAGGCCCTCTGGTGAACCTCCCGCCCATCCGAGTTGACCTATCAGACAACTACCTGTCGGGTGTCGTGTCTGCACCAGACTGCCAGCGCTACTCCATCGCAGCCAACTGCTTCACACCAAGCAAAACCTGCAATCCTAAGTTGCAGCGTCCAGCAGCGCAGTGCATAGCGTTCTGTGGCATCTCTCCAACCACTGCTGCCTGTGGTGGTCGCGGCGTATGCTACCCGGACGGGCCCAGCTTGGTGCCAACGTGCCTGTGTGGTGCGGGATTCTTGCGACTTGGAAGAATCAACTGTAGTCCTGGAGGTGATAAGCGATTGTAATGTGCTTTCAGGGCATTAGAACACTGGCTTTGAGGACCTCACAGTCTTTGTGCTCATTCCCTTATGCGCTCCGTAACCATTTCCTCTACTTTCTATTTTGGGCACAATGGTTGTCAACCCACGATTTGCTCTAATTACTCCATATTACTCATGCTTGTTGATCTTGTTGAATGACTGGTGACACACACACACAAAATCACCTTGCACGGGCACACTATCTAGAGGGTTTTGACCAAGTGATCTGGTCTGCACAGCTCAACACACAATTTCCCTTGCTCCGCCACTCCCACCCTTCCACTCTCCAGTCCCCCCAAGGAGCATCCTCCCACCATTCGCGATTCTGACCAAGGGCACGAAGAAAGAGACTGCAGGAAAGTTTGTGGCGAAGCCAGTGACTTTGTTTCTGTACCAGCCTGGTGTGACTTCAGGATGCGGCTTGGAATTGGCCTTCAAAGTAAACTTCACCTTTGCTCTCGTGCCCCAGTCTAGTACTACTGGGTCCAACGGCTTCGCATTTGTCATCGCAGCAAAGCCCAAGGCGGGGAAGCTAGGTGGTGTGGGGTACAGAGGAATGGGACCTCGGAGTATGGCTGTTGTCTTCGACGCGCTTCAGAATGATGCGGGCGAGCAGCACGTGGGGCTGAGCGTCAACGGCACAGAAGAACCCTTGGTCAAGGAGGTGTCACCGTACGCTCTAACCGACGGCAATGCATACACGGTGTGGGTGGATTATGATCCTGGTGCTCCCAACAGCATTCAAGTGTTCCTGGCAAACTCATACGTGAAGCCAGTGGGGCCGCTGCTGCAGGGGAGGGTGTCGCTATGTGCGGTGCTGCAGCCAGGAGTGAGGCAACCGGCGTTCTCGTTTGGCTTTGTGGCCTCCACCACTGTGAAGCCCTTCCAGCTGCAAGGCATTTACTCCTCCGCTGTGCAAACAGGCAAGGTTATTTCGGCAAGTGTGGGGGTGATGCTGAATGCCTTGGTGATGGGGTGCGGCATGCAAGCACTGAAGTTACTTTGTGAATGTTGGTTCATACCGTACCCGGATTCTGCCGGTTTGACCCGAACCAGTTCAGGTTTGGTTCGTCCACCTGGCTGGTTTGACTCGGCTCATCTTGAGCCAATTCGAGTTCGAGCATTGCTCATGCCATGCCCATGACGCATGCCCATGACTCATGCCTCATGACTCATGCCTCATGGCTCATGAGCAATATGGTAGGATTGGATATTATTTGAAATGTTCTCCTGGGTACTGATGATCATGGCACCTGTCATAGCTAGGCCATTATGCTGACGATTACCAGTGGTAGCTAACATGTATGATCTTGCCTCTGCTCCCCTTTCACGTGGTCTCCTTGACCAAGACCCATCCAGCACTCTATGGCCTTAGTGCTTCTCTTTCTCATTATGTCTCTCTTCACAGGCGCTCCATCACCCAAGCCAGTCCAGTTCAATAAGCAAGGTGAGCTCCCTGCACGTGGCATCCAGAGCCTAGAATGGTTCTTGACAACCTGCAGATTCTATTCCTAATTTGTTTAATTTGTTTAGAATGGTCTAAATAATGGCGTGTACCGAACATCGTCCATACTTTTTCACCATGCCATTGTGGTCCATTATTAGTGAGCTGCCGTTTCACCTGATAGTCTACCACCACATGATCCTATCTGGCTACCACCTTGGGTCATTAGGGAAGGGAAATGGGGGCTCTAGGCTATTCACTGCTCTGCCTGCAGCACTAGTCGTGCAGCTGGGAGCTCTTGCCAACTTTGTAGCCTAATCCTTTTGAGGCGCCTCAAAAATAATCCTTGCAGCTTTGTTACATTGTTTATGGGTAAGTTCAAAGTATTTGAAGGTGAAGTAGCCGCATGTGCATCACTGGTTGAAGTAATATGAGACACTGGTTGGTGGCTAATGAACTAGCGAGGCAATTGACAGCAAAATCGTGGGTAAGCCGATTGGCACCAGTCAAAGCATCTCTGCAGCAACCCAAATGTTGCTTACCTATTCTATTCACCAGCGCCCTTGGCCATGCTGCACATCACTACCTCTTCAGCTCCAGGAGGCTGTGCGCTATGTGGGGGGTTGTTAGAAATTAACTTCAATCTCAGCCTTTGTACTTACACGTAATATCCTGATTTAGTGCCGTTTTAGTTTGTGGAGTGGATTGCACCACTATTCGGATCTTAGGACGTGTCACCTCTAGCCATTTTGCACAATCGATCGCAGGATCGGTGATTGTACCGCACTAAAATCCTGCTGGTTGTGTTAACAGCTTTCAGCACCATTTTGAACTCCGTCAAATTACGTTCCTGCACAGGATCGGTCCTAGGGCTGACGCGTCCTTACCGATTGGATAATTCAGCTGATCCCATTGGAGATTGTCCCTGACCCTTTCCAGCTCATCACTGATATTCTCAAAAATCCTTGACAGCACCATCAACTACTCTCCCCACTCACATCTTTCTATCTATATGTCCAATCCTTCCTGGCCCCAACAGCCCTCGGCCTCTCACTGTCTCGAGCCAGTCCCTTTTCGCGCTATGTGAGTGCGGACTTTAAGCTGTCGGCCACCAGAGCGGACTCGTGGAGCATCCGTGACTTCCACACGTGGGACTCCGTGCCCTTCCTCAACTGGCCTGTCAAGAACCAAAACGACTGCAGTGAGTGGAAATAAAATCGCGAGTCCACTTCAGTATCTGAGCTGCTTTTCCAATCTATTATGCTGTTGGTGTTTACTAATCTATTTCAACAACAAACTTACTAGAAATCCTGGCAATCCTTATTCCCTATCATTTTTCACTGATTGTTGTAGTCTGTGCTGCGTTCACGCACCAGCTGCCTATGAACCTGCATCTTCTAATAGAAGGCTCACAGGTCAAGTACAGCACATTAAGAGCGATTAAATGGAGAAGGGGGAATGGGAACACAACTTTATGAAAATCGATTCGGATTGTGAGGAAACTGTAAATCTATACTTCACCCTCTAAATTTGTAACCCATATACATGAAATGTGCAGCCTATCTTCATCACTCCATCCTTATTGCACGCTTCACCTTGCTTAACCTTCACCTTCCTCTCAGATGCGTGCTGGGCGTATTCGGTGGTGGCGAGTGTGGAGGCGGCATACGGCATTGCAAAGCAGCAGAGCGCTCCCCGGCTTGCAGTGGAGGCGCTCTTCACCCTCATGGGCCTCTCCGACTCCGACAAGTGCTCCGCTGGCGGCTCCCCCACCCACGCCCTTGAGACGCTCACAGCTCTCGATGCCTCCAGTGGGCTCACAGGGGAGAGGGACCCGGTAGGGTAGACAGCATGAGGACGTGGTATGGTATGGTATGGTATGGTATGGTATGGTATGGTATGGTATGGTATGGAATGGTATGGTATGGTATGGTATGGTATGGTATGGTATGGTGTGTATCTTCATCCACCCAGGCCTTTGAGACGCTCGATGCCCTCGATGCCTCCTGTGGGCTCACAGTGGCCACTGACCCGGTAGGCAAAACAGCGTGTTAACCCTGAGGCACCAGTGGGCTCACAGGGGCCGTTGACCCGGTAGGCAAAACAGCACGAGGACGTACTTGTAATATGGTATGGCATGTTTCAGGTGAGGTGGGAAAATATCTGAGATATGGTATAGTATGGTAAGATATATTGCTAACAGCTAGGGGAGGACAAATTACTTTGCTTGCTTGCCCGTTTCAGAATCCGGAATGGTAGTGAAAGCAGCTTATCCAACAAGCTAGACAAGTCCATGTTAATATACAGCTTTTTCATCGGTGTCTGATCTGAATCCAGCAATTCGTTGCTGAATTACTTAGGCATCGTCTGACATGGTGGAAAGCTTATCCTTGTTTTTTATCATAGCTTGCCTTGCTTTTTTTGGCTTGTCCCTTCTCAGGAGGCACGAGTGTGTGTACCCTTCCCTAGTTTCAAAACTTCCTCAAACCTCCCCTTTCCCACCCCAATCTCACCCCCATCCCCAACCCCACCTCTTCCCACCTGCCCTCTCGTGCCTCCAGGCAACAAGGTACCCAGTGCAGGCGTTTGAGCGAGCGCAGTTCAAGGGGTATGTGGGGCTCATGCTGGCAGTGCAGCGGCAGCCAGTGGTGGTTCACATCGAGGCGTCTCCAACCTTCATGCAGTATGATGGGGTGAGCTGCTGCCACCTTTCGCTCGCTTTGGTGTGAACCGTGTTGTGTGGTCCTTCTTTGTTTCACCTGGATTGCTGTTGCATTCACTGGTTGACGAGTCCCAACACTTTAGAGAATGCTGAATCTGCTTTTACAGTTTCACACCTGTCTGACTTGTTCTTGTTAAATCCCCCCTTTCTGAATGTTCTTTCCCCATCTCAATTCAGACTTACAAATATCAGGATCCTGGTTGCTACACGGGCAGTCTCAACCATGTTGTACTCGTTATTGGCTACTTCATTACAAGAAATGATGGCAGCCAGAACCGCATTGCTCCTCCGTTTGGGATAATCCGCAACTCGTGGGGAGAGGATTGGGGCAACAGGGGCCACATGCGCATGGACATTCAGGGAGGGGATGGCGTGTGTGGCATCAACGTGCTGCCTGGCATCTACCCCATTGTCAAGAGTAAGGCATCTACCCCATAGTCAAAAGCAAGGCATATCTGCTATGGCAGAGTATTAAGTCGTGTAGGCAGCAACAGAGGCAATTGAAAGAGTATTAGGTCGAATGCCAACAGACGAAGAGAGCGTGCAGGAAGCGCATCAAAAGATGCAGCTGCTGAGCAGATGCAATAGAAAAACGAGGATTAAGGTTGGAAAGGTAAGATTCTGAAATGAGGCCGCGAAGGATGCAGAGAACGAATGGGGTAGGTAGGACTGGAATAGATATGCAAAACAGCAGTATTTGTGCAAGCTGAAAGCTGTAAATTCTTTCACTACAGGCGATTCATAGTGTCGAGCTTGGTCAGCAGAAACGCACTTGCTACTGAGGTATTTTGCAAAGTGGCAGGAGCTGTGCAATCTCCTTCCTTCAGGCTTGTTTGTCTGCTGTTAGTGTCTGCTGTGACCTCCATCGTCATGCTCTTCAAGTGTATCCTGTGTAACACCTTCCAGTTCCAGGGGACCCCTGCGGCCAGAGCAGATTTGCAGCCCAGCATGAACCCATGCGGCCGCTTCCAGTGCCAGGGGACGACACCAAGCAGCAACAACTGCACTTGCAATATTCCTACTGCTGCTGTGCAGCCTTTTGTGGAGGTTGGCAATGGAATTGGCTCCACATGTGCTTATGGTAAGTTCAGTGGCAAGTCAAAGGGTGAGTGGAAGGGCATGTAGTTTGGTGTTGCACTGAAGTATGCCGTACTGTTGTAGCATGGAGACGTTTTCAAATATATGCACATTGCCCGACAGAGAGTGAGGGCAATGAGGTGAGCGGACAAGACTCCTCTAACACCCTGGTGCTCTACATACTGTTTTCTGAGAATTCTCAAAAAACAGATTTACCGTGGTGCTCTTCAAACTGTTTTTTTAGAATCCTCAAGAAACAGATTCACCCTAGTGCTCTACATACTGTTTTTTTAGAATTCTCAAAAAACAGGTTCACCCTAGTGCTAGGGATGAGCAAGTGGCGAACACGAACGTGTTCGTGTTCGCCCCTACACGAACACCTTCGTTTGCCGAACCGAACACTGCTCGGTTCGGCGAACACTTTGAGCAAAAAATGGTGTTCGCCGTTCGCCTGTGAAGGCGTATTCGGGCGAACCTGACTGAAAGGTAAGTCGTGTGCCGTCCACGCTCACCGCACCATGCGGCGATAACTGCTTCAACGGGAGCTAGACTATGGGCTAGGCACGGGTGCTCGTGTGATCTCTGCGTTCGTTGGTCCTTAGTCGTTTTCCTAGTGCTCACACTGCTTGCTAGTTCACGGGGCAATTTGGCAAGAGTTTCACTAGAGAAAGTTGACAATAATAATCCAAATCAGTTGGCATGGCAAGACTACATCAGAGCTAGCATTCAGGTCGGTCGACTGCCAGCACAGCATGGTCGACCGCGTTCCAGCACGACTTGGTCGACCGCGCTCCAGCAGTGCAAAGTCGTCGACGGCGTGCCAACGCTGCAGGTTGACGGCGTGCCAGCATTGCTCCCGCAGAACAGCAGCGCACCTACTTCGCAGGTGCTCGTAGATGATTGGCGGGCTAAGCCTCGTCACCTGAACAGCGCACGCACCAAGTCATCCTCGTGCTGACAGCTCCACCTGATCCGCCACGTCGACCTCGGGATACCACCACCGAGGTCGGACTCGCCAACATCGCCTGGGAAACCGTCGCACTCCTTCGCAGAACCTCGTCACCCAGGTATCCCGGTCGACCGGGCAACCATGTCGACCAGCTGCTCCTGTATGTGCTCGTCGACCTCCCAACTTGACGACCACCCCAAGTCGGTGACCTTGCAAGTCGGTGACCTTGCAAGTCGGCGCCGACTTCCGGGTCGACGTGCCACATCGCCGACCACCAAGTCGGCGGCATTGCAGTGGCCCCGTGCAAGTCGACCAACCCCAAGTCGGCGTCGCCCACTGCAACAAGTCGGCTGTACCTCCTGTACACCCAACCACGAAGTCGGCTCCGCCCAAGCAAGGACGGGGCCAACAACAACTCCCGTAGACACTCCCCTGCCGCGTTCACGCTTGGGCTCCCAGCCCACACGGCATCACTGCTCGAAGAATAGCTCGTCGGCGTGAACCCAACACACTGCACGCCGGTCACCGGGGGGACAAGTGCAGGAGGGCATGGCACCTACTGCTGCACATCGTTGTCGCCGTCGACCACGTCGGCCAAGCGCACCTGGCCGATTGCGACGGAGCACCGGTTGAAGGCCGGATACTGCAGCGCCTTCGTCAGGAAGTCGGCTGGCTGCTCAGCGGTCGGGATCTACTGCAGCGAGAACTTCCCGCGTTTCACCATGTGTTGCAGCCAGGCCTGTCGCCGCTCCATGTGCTTGAGGTTGCCTGTCAACCCCATGCCCTCGGCGACCGTGATGGCCGACTTGTTGTCCACCCTCAGGACAGTCGGCTTCCCGGCATCCAGCTGCCGGAACTCTGCAAGGAGGAAGCGAAGTCGGCGTCCTTCCTTGCCGGCTTCGGTGGCTGCCACGTACTCCGACTCAGTCGACGACAACGTCGCGCACTTGATGCGCTGGCTCGACCAGGAGACTGCGGCCCCTCCATAGACGAACACGTAGCCACCCGTGCTTGTCCTGTTCTGCTTGTCACCGGCGTCGTCGGCGTCCACGTAGCCGACCAGCTCCAGCGACTCAGGTCCACCGCCGAACTCCAGGGCGGTGTCACGCGTGTTGGCGAGGTAGGCGAGACAGCGGTCGACCTCGCGCCAGTGCTGGTCGCTCCTCACCGTGAGGCCGCTCCACAGCTTGCTGCAGGCGAAGGCGATGTCCGGCCTCGTCGCCGTCGCCGCGAACTGTAGCGAGCCGACCTTCTGCCGGTACTCCTCCTCCTGTCGCTCCTGTGCCTCCTCGTCATCGAACGTGAGCTCGGCGTAGGCATCGACTGAGACCGGCATCTTCGGGGTGCGCCCGGTCTGCTCCTCGTCGATGAAATGCCTACGCAGCTTGTCGGCGTAGCCCTGCTGGTGCAGCCACAGCTTCCCCGCCGACCTGTCGCGCACGATCTCCAGCCCGAGGTACTTCTGTACCGGCGAGATCTCACGCAGCTCGAAGGCGGACTCCAGCAGCTCCTTCAGCTCCTTCAGCATCTCGGTGCTGCTGCTGGCGGCGAGCAGGTCTTCGACGTAGACCAGAACCCAGCAGGCGACTCCGTCCTTTCCGACCTTGAAGTAGAGAGCCTCGTCGACCTGGCTCTTCTTCCACCCGGCGCCGACCAGCACGTCGTTGAGCGCCAAGTACCACAGCAGCGGCGACTGCTTCAGCCCGTACAGGCTCTTCAGCAGCTTGCAGACCCGGCCGGTTCCGTCGTTGAAGTAGTCCGGCTGGGACATGCAGAGCACCCGGTCGAGCCTGCTCTGCAGGAAGGCGTTCTTCGTGTCGAGCTGCATCAGGTTGAGGTTGAGGACGGCAACGATGCTGAGGAAGATCCTCAGCGTGACGTAGCTGCCCACCGGCGCAAACGTCTCGTCGTAGTCGGCGCCATACACCTGCGTGAAGCCCTTCACGACCTGCCTCGCCTTCTCTCGCTCGACGATGTCGTCGATGTGGTACTTCGTCGTCAGCACCCACCGGTTTTTCATGATGTTGACCCCCGGCGGGCGTTCGACCAGCTCCCAAGTGCCCATGTTGAGGAGGCTGCGGATCTCCTCCTCCATGGCGGCCTTCACCGCCGGGCCCTTCCAGCTCGCCAAAGCCTCCTTCACCGTCATCGTCGAGATGTCCCAGCGGTGTTCAGGGTCGGCCAGCATGTCCGGGTCGAGCTCCGGAAACTCCTCATCGTCCTCGGCGTCGTCGTACAGCAGGTCGTCGTCATTGTCCACGTCGTACACGGTGGTGAAAGCAGCGGGGACGAAGAAGTCCGGCGGCCTCCGAACTCGATCCGACTTTCGTTGTTCAGGCCGAACCTCCACCACGTCACTCTTGGTGGACTCCCCGGCGTCCCCTCCTTCGTCACCACCTTCACTGCCCTCGTCGTCCTGCTGCACCTCGGTCGACTTCCTAGTCGACCTCTCCCCTGTGGTCGGCTGCCCTGCCGACTGCCTGGTTGCCGACTGCTCCGTGGTTGGCTTCACTGCTGCCGGCTCCCCTGTCGGCTGCTGCTCCTCGACCTGCTCCTCCCCTGTCGACGTCGGCCTCAATCCCACGTCGACTTGCCGCTCGTCACGTCGGCCACCGGCGATGCCCTTGGTCGGCGCCGAAGGCGACGGCCTACTACTCCCCTCATCGCCGGAGGCCGACACCGAGGTCAGCCCGCGCAGGTCGGCCAGGAGCGGAGGGGCAGAGGCCGGAGAGGGAAGGGAAGGAGGGCGGACGGCCTCGACGTCCTCGGCAGCAAACTCACCGACCTCGGCGAGCAGAGGCATTGTCGCTGACGAGGTGTCGGTTGGCGGGGTGGACGGCGTTCTGCCGGACACCGGCCCGTGCTCCGACTTCCACTCGGCCAACGACATCTCCTCGTAGAACACCACGTCCGACGTGGTGACTACCCGGTTGGCGTCGACGTCGAGGAGCTCCCAGCCCTTGCTCGCCGCCGACACACCAAGGTGAAGGCCCCACCTGGCCTTCGGCTTCAGCTTCCCACCACGCTGCTTCTCGGGGACAAGGAACTGCGCCATACAGCCCCACGCCCTCGCCATCGACAAGTCGGGCTTCTGGCCGCCCAGCAGCTGGTACGGCGTCGTCCCCAGCGGCAGCGTCGACCGCTCAAGGCAGTTGCGGACCCAGACGGCCTGCCGCAGAGCGAGGTGCCACCAGTGGTGCTGCACGCCCATGTGCAGCAGCATCGTCCGCACCGACTCCACCACCGTCCTCATCTCCCGCTCCGCCATGCCGTTCTGCTGCGGGGTGTACGGGCAGGTAAGGTCGTGGACGATCCCCTGTCCATCCATGAAGTCGGTGAACTTCTTCCCGAGGAACTCCCCTCCTCGGTCGGAGCGAAGCATCAGCACCGACTTCTGTGTCTGCCTTTCCAC